GAGAATGAGATTTATCCCCAGGTCCCTTGAAATGCATCACCCAATCTGCCACAGGTACTCTGAAGCCAAGAATGTTAGAATGTAATCTCTTGGAGGGCAGGAACAGACTTTTTTAATTTTTGTATCCTCAGCTCCCAAAACAATACCAGCTCATAGGAAGCACTCAATGTTGAACTTTTTTGGATCTGTTGAATGCCCACTTCTACCTCTAAGAGTGGCCCCACATGGGGTGCTGGGCAGTGGTGAAAGCCTCTGAGCTCCTCCAAGACCTCCATGTTCATGTCCAAGTAATGTTCTAACCCAGCACTCCCAGGGGCCTGCCATCAGTGCTGGCATTCATGACCAACCCAGCCTGGCAGCCTGTCTAGAGGACAGGTCCTTCATTTGTTCACAAATGAACTAACCCTGGGGTGTGAACCCATTTGGACACAAATCTATCCAGCAAAGCAGGCCTCTGACCCTGGAGCATACCACTGGCCTGTAACCTCTGAGAGGTTACACTCTGGGTGCAAAAGAACCCTTTTATTAGGACAGCTCGGTTGTATCCAGATTCCAGCCAAAGAGAAAAGCAAGCCTTTAACAAGATTGGAATGAGGCAGTGGGGGATAATTTCTTTATGACCATCAACTTAAGCCCCCATTCTAGTGTGTTCTCATTCCCCACCCTCACTATTGACTGCCAAAAATGATCAAGTTTCATTTAACCAATTAACAGAAATTTGCTTTTATAAAGAGATATTTACTATAAATATAGCAAGAAGAGAAATTATAAACATTCCCCCCAACAATTGGGAGAAACATTCTCCCCTATACCACCTCAGTCCCTGGAGAGAGTGAGTGCATACCTAAAACAGTTTCTACTGTGCATGGATGGGTCTTGCCAATTTCACTTCCAAATGGGGCAGAGAAGTTGGATGAATCTGAGTTTCAGTGGGCTAGGTCAAGGTCATTGGATAAGGCTACTCATCACAGTCAGGCTTTCTGTAAATCCCAGCACAGACTCCAGGTGCTGGGATTCTGGTAGCTCACTCTTCCGACCTTTCAAAGCTCACAAGATCATTGCTACCTCCACTACAGAAAAAAATCAAAGGCCAAAGAGGCCTTTCAAGAACCACACACTGGCCTCTGATGGGAGGGTCTGAGGCCTCTCCTCTAACAGCACTGTCTCTCTCCCCAGAACAGCAGCCAGTAATATGGAATTATGTTTTGCATGACTTCAAATGTATAATTGATATCATATTGCTTGCTTTCTCAAGGGGTGGGAGACAGGCAGGAGGGAATTTGGAACTCAAAAAAATTTTTTAAATAAACATTTATATTTTTTTAATTTGAGAAATATTTAATGAAAAACAAAATTATATATATATGTACATATATATATATATATATATGTACATATATATATATATATATATATATACATTTTTTTTTTAAAAGAAAGAGCAGCAGTTAGGCTGGAATCATTTGATTTGACCCAGTAGTGCCTTGTGAATGAACTCTGATTCTGGCTGCATAAAACTATCTTTTCTTCATGTAGTTAGTAGACCAGAACCAATTTCACAATGTCTATGTATGATCCAAATCAGGGAACAGGGCCCTTCCATTCTACAATGTGGGGAATACACACACTGAGCACACTGTGCCTGCTCACCAGTCTTCCATTTCATGTGTATTTCGTTTCAGGTTCTACCCACACATTTTGCAGAATATTAAACAAAGTTGACTTAAAAGAAAAACAGAAAAAAGCAAAGCACTAGACCAAAAAAAGCACAGTCAAAGAACCTGGATTCTAATTCCAGTTCTGCTGATGACTATCTTTCCCTTCCCCAGCTCATCCCGCTAACCCAAACAACTGCCAGCCTGATATTCCTAATGCACAGCTCTGCCCAAATCTCTCCCTCTGCTCAAGAAGCCCCAATGGCTCCCTAGTGCCTCTGGGACCAGATACAAACTCCTCTCTCTGGCATTCACAGCCCTTCACCATCTGGCTCTAACCTATCTTTCCAGAGCTATTTCACATATCCTCCCCTTCACAAACTCTACACTGTAGCCAAATTGGCCTACTCTTAACCACAAGGAAAACTAAGGTGTTAAACCCTGCAAGGGACTCCAAGATAAAGGGCCTGGTGCTGAGTGTGCCCTTTGACACTGCCAGGCAAGACCCCTAAAAGGTCAAAGAAAGAGGAAAGGCACCCAGGGGCACAGAAACATTCCTAAGCAGCACTTTTTATTGTAATGGAGAACAGAAAACCATGGAATTTCCAGATGAAGAACTGTGGCTTCTCCTCATCAACTAGGGAGAGGCTGAGGAAATTACAGGACATGAATGTATGGGTACATTATTGTACCCTAAGAAACGAAGAAAGGGTTGGATCCAGAGAAACCTGAAAGATTTAAATGAACTGATGCGGAATGATTGAGTAGAACCATTTACACAGCGACTACAACACTGTAAAGAAAACTGACAAACTTAAGAAAATGCAATGATCAAAGAAAGGGTGGACAGTAATGATGATGCCGGAAAAAAGGCAAAAAAAGAGAGAGAGTCATTGAAGGCTTATGTTTAAAAGTAGAAGAGAGAAGAGAAGGCAGTGCAGAAAGAGACACAGAGAAGCAGGACAGCTTCAAAATGAAACTGTTGAATTTATTATATACTTTAAATATGTGTGTGTGTGTGTGTGTACTGCTAATTTTGGCCTAACAATTAGCACCAAGAAAACACAGGTTCTCCACCAGCCAGCACCACACACGGAATTAGGGGTTATAGTGAATGGAAAAATACTGAATGTTGTGGATAAGTTTACTTACCTTGGCAGTATATTTTCCAGGGATGTCCACATAGAAACGAAGCTGATGCCTGCATTTCTGGAGCTATCTCAGTGCTTGGGAGGCTCTGAAGGAAAGTGTGAGAGGCAAGAGGTGTTAGGCTGCCTACCAGTCTGAAGGTCCACAGAGGCATTGCGCTGACCTCATTTTTGTATGCCTGTGAAACCTGGCCAGTCTACCAGCACCACGCCAGGAAACTGAATCTCTTCCATTTGAATGGTCTCAGCAAGACTCTGAACTTCACCTGGCAAGATAAGATGCCAGGTCCGTTCTTGAGATGCACTACAGTCGTTCAGACTACCGCAGAGAGTACAATTCTCTCTGAGGGACCGACCACGTTGTTCAAATGCCTCACATACATTTGCCTAAAAGACTATTTTATGGAGAACTCACGCAAAGCAAGCATGGACACGGTGAGATGAAGCGAAACAAGGACACTCTCAAGGTCTGTCTGAAGAAGTCTGGAATCAACTGTGAGACACGGAGACTTTGACCCAGGACCATCCTGCGTGGCGTGCCCACATCAAAAATGTGCTGCGTTCTATGAGCGAAGCTGAACTGCCAGAGCTCAAAAGTAACCAGAGATATGCAGATTTGGAGACATCTCCACTCCAAACGTTCACATGGACTACCTGTGGTAGGGCCTTCCCAGCTTCAACTGACCTGCTCGGTCACAGTTGGACACCCAGTACCTTGACTACAGCATAGTGATGCCATTCCGGTCCTCTTTGAGGACAGAGGATGACCACCAACCAACCGAGCAATCCACAAACTCTACGTAATTGCAATGCACAATGACTTCTTCCTGTTTTTCTGTATTTGTGGAAATATCCAGGTTTGTTGTGTTTATCAAGTTCAGAATAACAAAAAGGTAAAAAAAAATGTTTTAATAAAAGTCATGCAGTGGGTAGAGCACAGGCCCTGGAGTCTAGAGGTTCTGAGTTCAAATCCAGCCTTAGGCACATAACACTCATTAGCTGTGTGACCCCGGGCAAGTCACTTAACCCCATTGCCTGTGCCCAAAAAAAAAAAAAAAAGTCATCATCACTGAAAGTAAAATTCCAGTATAAAAAAAAGGGTAGAAGACATAAAAGTAAACCCAGGTCTCCTGCCTTCCAGCCTCACGACTCTTCTGACCATACCCCAGGAGCCTTTGGAAATATTTTCATTTATACTCGGGTAGTGATTGTTGTAAAATTCCAGTGACCAAACAGGGCGGGGAAGAGAGCAGAAGACGCAGCTTCCCTTCCTTGCAGAGGTGGGGGGGGGGGGCACAGGTGTGGGATCCTGCAGACGCGCTCAGGCGTTTCTTTGCTGAGCTCGTTAGTTCTGCTGACCTTTAAAATTCCTTCCTTTACATTCTTTATTGTAAAGGATGGCTCTCCTGGAGGGGGAGGGGTGCAAACGAGAAACGTCGGTGATGCTCTGTCCGGGGCTGGGTCGAGGGGGTGAAGTTTGTTTTCTCTGCTCCTGCCCCTTCTTCTTTTCCCCCTAATTCGTTCATCCTCCAGATCCTCTACCTCCCCCCTCCAGGTCTTTGCACTGGGCTCCCGCCGTGCCTGCAATGCACTCCCTCTCCACTTGCGCCTAAGAGTCTCTAGCTCCCTTCAAAGTTCGGCTCTAGAACCCTGTGATGCTTTTCCGGATTCTTCCCCACACTCCCGGCCTCCCCTTTATGCACACTCCATCTTTAGGTAAGCCTTGTTTCCCACTTCCTGATAGAATGTAAGCTCCTTGAGGGCAGGCCCGCCATCCCTCTTTCTTTGTATCCGCAAAGCCTCGCCCAGATAAATGCTTTGTGTAGCACACAGCAGGCACTCAAACCATGCTTGTTGGCTGGCTGGCTGGCTGGCTGGCTGGCTGGGCTTCAGTTCCCCCCGCCCCCCTCGGTAAACTGAGGCCTTTGAACTAGGCGATCTCTAAGCACCGTTCCCCAGGGGGCCAAACTCCGCCCTCTTGGGAGTGGTCGCCCGGCACAGTCGGGGTCCAGGAAGGCCGGCTCAGTGCAATCGACGCAAGCGCAAATGAGCTGCTCAGGGAGTGGCTGCAGAGCGCATGCTCCTGGAAGATGAGGCGGGGGCGGGTTGCCCTTCACCAATATGGCCGACCGAGTAACAGGCCTCCCGGCCCTTCATTGGCCGGTCGCTGTTTTGTGACGTCACGGGGAGCGCCGACAGCCGCAGAACCCGGCAGCTCCACGTGGAGCGTGTTCTGGTGGGCTCTGGTGGGCGCCGCTGGGCTCTGCGCGAGGGAATGGAGACGCCTCGAAGGAGAAGCCGCCGCCTGGAGGGGCTGGAGGCCGAGAGCCCCGCCACTCCGGCGACCCCAACTCGGAGGGCCCGCAAGGCCCGGCGCACCCTCCTGGGATCCAAGGCCGAAGCTGCGTTAGAGCCGGTGCCGGAAGCGGCGGCGGGAGTGGGCGAAGGGGATCCGGAGTCCCCCCAGAACCTCAGAGACCCTGGCCTGGGATTCCTCAAGAACAGGCATGAGGACTCGGGGTCGCCCCAGCGTCAGGGTCCAGGGTCATCCCAGAATCAGTCAGTGCCCTGCCCAGGGTCCCCCAAGAGCCCTCAGAGACAAGACTCGGGGTCCCCCCCTCAGAATCATCCAGAGCCTAGTCTGGGGTCCCCCAGGAGACATCAGAATCAGCAGGCCAAGGGCGCTGGAGGTGAAAGGGAGCCAGGCCTGAGACCCTCGCAAAGCCCCAAGAAGCCCTGTGTGGGGTCCCCTAAGGGTCATGGAGCTCAGAGCTCGGGACCCCCTGGGGATCAGGCGGAGCCCAGCCCCAGAACTCCACAGGAGCTGGACTCCAGATCCCCCCCAGAAGCCAGCTCGCTGTCCCCCCAAAGTCTGAGAGACAAGGGATCAGGGTCCCATCGAGGACAGCCAGAGCCTGGCAGAGAGTGCCCCTTGGGTCAGCCTGAGCCAGTGGCCCCCAAGTCGGGAGTGCTGCCCCAGGACGGAGCTGCAGAGACGCAGCCGGGGACCCAGGCACCCCAAAGCAAGAAGAGGGGTGGCGCCCCTGCCCTCACCCCAGCCCCCAAGAAGCCCAAGCAGAAGGAGGCCCCCGCAATTCCCAAAGGGAAGCCCAAGTCTGGCCGCGTATGGAAGGATCGCAACAAGAAAAGGTGAGGGAAAGGGGGAAGGGGTTTTTCCCTTGGGTCAAGGCTTCAGGGAGAGAAAGCTGGAGCTGCCCTTCCTGGGGTGAGCAGGTCACAGCTGCAGCGATGCCCAGTCCAACAGGAGGCGAAGCTGAGGCTCCCCTGTGAGTGCAGCCACTGCCCGGTGCCCAGCCCCCAGCCCCGAGCCAGCTCCCAGGCTGCCTGGGCACAATCACTTGGGAAACACTTTGACAGTAATAAGAGAGGATCCACAATAATGGTGAGGTGCCAAAAGTTTGCTGTGGGCAGTCAGAAAGCCCTCCTCTGGAGGAAGGGATCGTAAATCACACTGAGCCTCAGTTTCTTCCTCTGTAAAAGAAGGGGCTTGGTTGGGAGGCGTGATCTTTAAGCTCCCCTCTCAGCCCTCTGGTCTGTGACCAGCCCGTGGGAGCAGAGGGTTCGAGCCTGAGAAAGAAACTGAGAAAAGGTCAGAGAAGCGTATCTGATCTCCCTCCACCCCGCCCTGAAATTCCTTTTGTGTATGGGATGTATTTATATATTCGCGTGCAAGTTGTAACTGGCCAGTGGTAGAGGGAGAAAGGGAAGAAGCCTTTATAGAGCACCCACTGTGCCAGGGGGCCAGGTGCTGCCAGGTGCTTTACAGATGCCAGATCTGATCCTCACGACCAGCCTGGGAGGGAGCTGCCGTTCTCATCGTCCCCATTTTACAGATGAGGAAACAGGCAAATGGAGACTAAGTGATCCGGGTCACACAGCTAGAGTCTGAGGCCAGCTCTGACCTTGGGTCCATCCGAAGCCAGGCCCAGAGCTCACCCACCGCCTTGTTTCACTTCGTATTCCCAGCACCCGGCCTAGAGCCATTCAAATCTGTTTTGGTCCACACCTTGTGTCAAGACTATCTCCTGATGCAGATCTGCACCTTTCTTCTCTGGGACACTGAGAAGCTTGGATGCTTCCTAGCCAATCACACACAGCCAGGATGGGTCAGGGTGGCACTGGAACCCAGGTCTCCCTAATTCCGTGGCCCACCTGCCACTCACAAGGCCTTAATACCTGTCACTCCACACACTGTGTGCTCTTCATGTCCACTGAATTGAATTGGAGGATTTAGAGCTGAAAGGGTTGTTGAAACTAAGGAGGCTGACCCCCTCATTTTACAGGTGAGGAAACTGAGGCTCAGGATGGGTAAGGCTCTTCCCTAAGGTCACACAGTTCCTAACTGGCAGGGCTGGGCTGCCAGTGCTCTCTGCCCACATTCCAGAGCCCAGGCCAAGGGTCCCGAACAAGGGCAAAGAGAGCACCTTCCTCCTCTGCCCCAGTTTTTTGGACTGCCTTGTGAGAGAGGGGCTACCTTAAAGGGCGGAGTGAGGAGTGGAGGGCAGATTTTGGCTTAGTGTGACGGAAAACCTTCACGTCAGAGTGAAGGGGGCTTCTCCTGAGGTAGTGAGCTCCCCATCTCTGGTTGGGTGAGATGGTCTCAAAGGGCCCTTCCAGTTTGGTAGGGTCAGAGGTCAGGTAGGAGGTGCCGACCCCATCAGCACAGCATGCGTGGGATGGAGCCGGCCTGAGAGTCAGGAAAACCTGGCTTGGAACACAGCCTTGGGCTCTCTTACCAGCTGTGTGACCCTGGGCAAGTCACTTCATCTCCTTTGCCTTGGCTTCCTCAGCTGTACAAAGGGGGTCACGATAGCACCCACCTCTTAGGGTTGTTGTGAGGATCCAACAAGAGTCAGTATAAGTAAGCACACAGTAGGTACTCTGTAAATGCAAGTTTTCTTCCCTTCCCCTTTCAGCCACTTCCTGTGTTTGGGGTGGACATCGTGTAGCCGAGCTGGCGCCTGGCCCCCTCCCCCACCCTCACTGTGAGCTCCTGGAGGGCAGGGACTCATCTTTGCAGCCCCAGCGCCCAGCGCGGGGCATTTGGGATCCTCCTGCAGAGCTCTCACTGGGGGGTCTGCCCTCTCTCCTCCCGCCTCCAGGTTTTCCCAGATGGTCCAGGACAAGCCGCTTCGCACATCCTGGGAGCGCAAGATGAAGGAGCGGCAGGAGAGGAAGCTGGCCAAGGACTTTGCCCGACACCTGGAGGAGGAGAAGCAAAGACGCAAAGAGGTGAGGCCTGGGGTGGAAAGCGGGGCAGGTGACGGTGCGGCCGACGGAGGGCCCTGCTTCCAAACAGACTCGTGCAGGTATTGTTAGGCCCGGGCCAGATGCAGGGAGATACGAGGCAAGACGAGACGAGGTGCCCGCCCGCTGGGAGCTTAAAATCTAGACAGGACATGTGAGCCCAGTTCTCTGAAGTGCAGGGAGGGCAAGTGCATGGCTGCGTGTACTGGCTGGATCCTGGACGGGTGGCAATCAGGGTTAGCTTCCTGGAGGAGGCAGTATGAGATGGTGGGGGTGTATCAGGCCTGGGGATGTGAACAAAAGCTGGGCGTCTGCATTGGGGGCGGTCACTAGTCCAGCGTGGCAGAGGGGCCTGACGGGACGTGGCACTGCTGGCAGGGAGCTTCGAGTGCCAGGCTTTATTGAGAGGGAGCACGGAGGGGTGGAGCCAAGATTAGTGAGGGCGGTGGTGGCTGGTGCTTCTGTAGCACTGTGCCGGGTAAGGGCTGGGGGAGGGTCTGGGCTCTGCCACAGATCTGCCCCATCTGGGGGCCTCCGTTTCCTCATTTGTGAAAGGAGGGCTTGGCACAAGAGGATCTCCCTTCCAGCAGCAAGGCCCCAGTTGTCTAGGCATTTTACAAAAATTCTTGAGCCCCACAGCCCCCCTGGAAGGTGGGGCCGGCCAGGATTATCCTCACCTCCAGGTGACAGAATTGGCTTAGAGACATTAAGTGAGTTAGCCAGTGATAGGCAAGATGTGAACCCAGCTCGTCCCGATTCCAGGGACAGCTTTCCATCCCCTCCACCAGACTGTGAGACACTAGCCTAGGGATGGAGAAGCTGTGGCCCCGAGGCCACATGTGGCCTTCCCTAGAAGGCCCTAGCCTTGGGTGTGGCCTTTTGACTCGGTCCAAGTTTTACAGAACAAATCCTCTTATGAAGGGGGTTTGTTGTGTGACATTTGGATTCAGTCAGAGGGCCGCACTTGAGGACCTAGAGGGCCACAAGTGGCCTCGAGGCTGCAGGTTCCCCACCCCTGCACTAGCCTAAGGAAGACAGACCAGTTAGGAGACTCTCCCGGGTGAGCGGTGTGACCAGGGCCTGGCCCAGGCAGGGGAGGAGACTTGGCAGAGGTCAGAGCAGCAGGAACTGGCGATTTATTGGACGTAGGAGACGATGAAAAGGCCGACACAGGCAGGGGGTGAGGGCAGGACGAGTCCTCTCCAGGGATTCCTGCCGGGCCCACCTTCTGATGTGGGGGAGACGCCCAGGGGGCGGAGGAGGAAGGCAGGTGGGACGTCTCAGCCTGGCTTCTGCTGCTTCAGAGGCCCGTAGGATTTCAGAGTAGGAAGGAGCCCTGTGAGGTTATGGCTGACCGAGGTTAGCAGCCTCTCCTGGAGACGTCCCAGAGAGACCTCCCTGCGCCCTGGGGCAGCTTATCCCACTCACAGACATCTGTAAAATCTAGGCTGACATCTGCTTCTCTGCCCCTTCCACTCCTTATTCTCAGCTCTGCCCTTGACCTCACAAATAAAGTCTGATCTCTCTTGTTTGAAGATGCCACGTCCTCACCACGACTGCCACCCCCCAGCCTAAGCATCCCTGGTCCCTTTGGCTGGTTTTCCTGCATCCAGACCCAAAGGCCTTCACTCCCACCGTGGGCCCCACACTGACCACAGCACTCCGGGGGGGAGCCTGACCTGGGCAGCTTCCCGGGGGGCTCCTCACCTCCTCCGGGGTCCTGATCCAGCTCAGGGTGGCACAAGCTCTCTTGCCTGCAGGTCAGCCCCACCCCCGGGTTTTGTCAGATGACCCAGTTTCTCACCCTGCCTGGACTTGGGAAACTTCCCATTTATCCCCATTCCATGTTGAGTTATTCGTCCTGCTATCATCTGGCACGGTTGTTACCTAGTGTGTGAAAAGTTCCTTCCCCGTGCCTCGGTTTCCTCGTTTATAAAAATCCATGATCCTATTGGAGCGGGGGGAGCTAATATTTCTGTAGCAAATGAAGGCTTATAAAGGGCAACCCTGTGAAGGAGGTGCTGTGGTAATCCCCATTTCACAAATGAGAGAACTGAGACTGAGGAGGTAAGTAATTTGACCAAAATTACACAGCTAGTACACGCCTGAGCCAAAATTCTAACTCTGGTCTTAGAATCATAGATTGATTGGGACCTTGGAGGCCAGTGATTCTAGTTCTCCCACTTTGCAGATGAGAAAACTGAGGCCTGGGGAGATTAAGGGACTTACCCAGGGTCCCACAATTAGTAGGTGTTTGAGGTAAAATTTAAACCCAGGTCCAGTCAGTATCCTATCGCCTGTACCGCACTGCCTCTCTGGACCTGTTTCCTCATCCTTAAAACGCCCTCTGAGCTCCCAGCTCTGCTTCCACTGTCCTGCCAGCGACGTCATGGCATGTGTTGCTTGGATGTTAACAAGGAGGTTTCTAGTGGAGTCCCTGGAGGGCTTCAGACAGAGGCTGGAAGGTCCATCTGTAAGGGACGCTAAATAGGGGTGTTTGATAGCCAAGGGACAGGACTGCGTGCAGAGCGGGCTGGGCCACGGGCATAAGAGGGTCCCGGAAAGGACCCCAGCCCCCTAAGCCACCTTTATTTATCCAGCCTTCAGACGTTGTTCAAATTCATGATTTTATACTGGGAGGATTGTGGGACTGAGACTGGGAATTGTCACCAGTAGGGGCCTGGCTGAGACCCCTCCCCACCCTCCTGGACTGTCCTCTCCTACAGCAGCTCTGTCTGGGCTCATGAGGGCTGGAGATGACCCTGACCACTGACCCTTCACTTGCTGCCCAGCGCAGGAGGCAGCGGGCTGCGGCCCCAGCTTCCCCACTCTGGGCCCCTTGTCTTGGACGTCCTAGGATTCCCTCGGGGCTGTGCCCTGGCCTGTGCCTGGAGAGGCCACAGGGCCGTGGCACGCCCTGGGATCGCACTGCTCACTATGTGTCTTGGGCAAGAGGAAGTGTCTCAAGCCTAGTTCCCCTCATCCTCCCAGGCTGCTCGCCCCTGCCCCCATTCCCCACCTCCCCTCAGCCCCCCATCCCTGCAGCGTGGCTTTGACCTCTCCCTGACCTGGTGCCCCTACATCTCCTCTAGGGAGGCTGGGCCTCCCAGCCACCTCTGATTGCCAAAACCCAACCAGAGGCCCGGGCCGGGGAGTGAGGTGTGAACATGGAGTCAGAGATGGGAATGTAATAATAATGACGTTTATGTAGCACTTGTAAGATTCACAAAGCATTCTACAATCTTGTATCGTTTGATCCTCACAGCAACCTTGGGAAGTAGGCACTATTATTGTCATTCCCCGTTTTACAGGTGAGGAAACTGAGACAGCCAGTGGCTAAGTGACTTGTCCAGCTAGGAAGCATCCCAGACTGGATTTGAACTTGGGTCCAGCATTGTCTTTACTATGATGATGCCTCAAGATGATCCGCCATCCCATGTGCCTGCTGTCCATGGGCTACGGCCAAATTAGGTGGTGTCCACCTCTGCTCTCCAGAGGGCGAGGACTCCAGCACATCGTGTCATTCAAATCTAGCCTTTGTCAAGGTTCAACTCTGTGACCTTGGGCAAGTCACTGCTGAGCTTCTGTTTTCTCAATAAAATGGGAGTGAAATGTTGGATTAGATGATATGAGGTCCCTTCAGGCTCTTTATAGAATCCATGTATAAGTCTATAGATTGTTAATACTGGGAGAGGCCCTCGAATGTGGAATGTCAGGGCTGGGAGAGATCTTAGAACAGGGAATGTCACAGCTGGGAGGGGCCTTAGAACAGGGACTGTCAGAGCTAGAAGAGATCTGAGAATGTGGAATGTCAGGGCTGGGAGACATCTTAGAACAGGGACTGCCAGAGCTAGAAGAGATCTGAGAATGTGGAATATCCCGGTTGGAAGAGATCTTAGAAATGGGAATGTCAAAGCTGGGAGGGGCCTTAGGACATGGAATGACAGCTGAGAGGAACCTTAGAACATGGAATGTCACAGCCGGGAAGGGCTTAGAGCCGGGAACATCAGGGCTGGGAAGGGGGAGCTCAGGCATATGCAAACCCCATCCTCTCCCAGAGGAGCAGAGGGGCCCAGAGGTGGGTGTTGCTACTGCTGGGCCCACCCAGGATTTCCTCCCCCCAGTCCTTGCCGAGCTCTGTAGCACCTGTCCCCTTGCTCTTCCCTCTAGGAGAAGAAAAGGCGGCGGGCGGAGAACCTGAAGAGGCGCTTGGAGAATGAGCGGAAGGCAGAGATTGTCCAAGTGGTGAGTGCACCAGGGCCCCTGGCCTCGCCCAGGCACGTGGGATGATGGACAGCCTCTGGCCACGTGCCCAGCGGCAGGAGGAGGCAGATGTGTTTAGATTGTCGGCTACCGTGGGGTATTGGGAACGAGGGGAGGTTTGACCCCAAGCAGTGGGGACCTGTGAGGGAGTCTCTGGAGTATGAGAAAGAGAGGAGAAGCTAGGGGCCAGAAGTTTCTCAGGAACTTTTTCCCCTCCTTGCTCCCCACTAGATCCGGAACCCCACCAAGCTCAAGCGGGCCAAGAAAAAGCAGCTTCGGCGCATCGAGAAGCGGGACACCTTGGCGCTTCTGCAGAAGCAGCCCCCACGGTGCCCAGTGGCCAAGGAATGAGTGGATGCCGGGGGCCTGGCTGTCCCTCGGCTTCTAGCCCCAGCCCTCTGGCCATTGGCACCTCCAGGCAGCCGTGATGGCCACCTGGACATCATTCCCAAGGACAGCAGGGGAGGAAGCCCAGGCTCAGACCTTGGGTACTGTGGGGAACGTGGGGGGCCTCACCCCTTGGAGCCCGAGACCTGGACAGAAGGGCTGGTGGCTGAACCAGGGGAGGGGAGCAGACTTTGTCTCTTTGTGAGCGGTAAATATTGTCTCCTCCCAGCTAGCCTTTCACGGCACGGACACGAGACGAGGGACACGTGCCATTTTATTGTCCGTCACAGGTCTTGGGGGAGGCGTGGGGGCCCGGAGGGCATCTGGCTGCCAGCCAGGAGTGTCTGTGCCCTACACTCCATGCCCCTGTCATTAGGAAGCCAGGCCCGGGGTGGGGGGACACCCCTTTGCCCTCAAGACTCAAGCCCATGGGCCGGCCCAGGGAGAAACAACAAATCAGGGTTCCTTCTCCTCCCAGCTTGAGACAACGTTGGAGAGGACGTGGATGGGAGGGAAGGGCTCCTTGGTGGTCCTCTGGGAAGATCCGGGGCGGGGAGGGAAGGCCAGAAGCATAGGAGCCGTCCCTCAGGAACCCATGTTTTGGGTGGCCCTGTAACCTGAGGATGTGCCCATTCCTGGAGAAATTGATCCAATAAACTCATTACCTTTCAAATGTTAATGATTTGGTGAAGTGATTTAGAATCCAAAGAACCACCTCTGCTTACCAACCTGCTCCCCTTTAGCAAGCTTATTCATCTCTTTGGACCTCAGTTTCCCCATCTCTAAAATGGGGTTGATCTCGGTTGTCTCTAAAACAATGGGTTTGGATTTAGCTGATCTCCAAGGCCTCCTCCACTTGTAAATGTTTGATCCTGTGGCTTAACAAGTGACTATTCCCAGCGGGATTTGTGTGCTGTGAGAGACAGGGAATGGGCAGCACCTGGCCCCTGGAACGGTGGGGTGTTCTGTTTGGAGGAGGAGGCGTGTCCCATACCCCAGCCGGCAGCCTCATTTCAAGGAAACCTCCTCCTGCAGCTCAGCTGGGGCTGGGGCCTTGCCTGGCTGTCCGGCCACCTTGACCCCCACCCAGGTGAGCCAGCGGCTGCGGAAGCCCGGGGAGCTGGAAGTGGAGGAGGATCTAGACAAGGAGGCCGCTTGGGAGCTGCGGCGCCTGCGGCTGCCGCAGCCGAACTCGGTGTCCTCCACCAGCATGCTCTCGAGCACGCAGCGCAGGGAGTGGCGCAGCTTCTTCAGCACGTCCGGGCAGGTGAACACGTAGAGGAAGGGGTTGACCACGCTGTTGATGAAGGCCAGGCTGGTCACGAAGGGCAGGGCCACCTGCACCATCGGGCGCAGACTGGGGTCATAGTGGGCCTGGACCTCCATCAGACTGAAGATGTGGTAGGGCAGCCAGCAGAGGACAAACGCGGCGATGACCGCCATCACCAGGCGTACAAAGCGGCTGGGGTGCTGGCGGCAGCGGTGGCGTAGCTGCAGGCTCACGGCCACGTAGCAGGTGCCAATGATGCCCAGGGGGATGACGAAAGCCAGCAAGAACTTGCTGACCGCCAGGGCCGTTTGGCGGCGACCACAGGCGGCATCCCTGTCTGTCCCGGGGTTATGGAGCAGGAGATTGTAGTAGCACATGATCCGATTATCCCGCCGTGTGATGGTGTCACGGAACAGGAAGTAGGGGATGGTGTTGAGCAGGGCCAGGCCCCACAGTACCAGGCAGACCTTGCGGGCCGCGGCCACTGTGCGGTGGTTCTGGGCCCAGATGGGCTTCACCACCTGCAGGCAGCGATCCAGGCTGATGGCACTGAGCAGGAAACCGCTAGCAAACATGTTCAGGAAGAAGATGGACGAGTGCACCTTGCAGAAGGTGGTGCCTAGCTTCCACGAGTGGCCCACGGCCAGGAAGTAGGTGAAGAAGGGCAAGCTCGCCGTGGCCAGCAGGTCCGACAGGGCCAGGTGCAGCACCCAGGTGGTGACCACCGTCTGGCGCATGCGGCAGCCGACCACGAAGAGGATGACGGCGTTCTCCACCATGCCCAGCAGAGACACCAGCCCGTGCAGGGTCACGGAGGCGTAGTCGATGTAGCGCCCGTTGGAGCTGGTGTGGCCCGTGATGTTAGTCATGTACTCCAAGACGGGGCACAGGGTGATGTTGGACGACATCTCGGGGTCCTGCATGGGAAAGGCCGTGCTGAGCTGGAGTGCCCCTGAGTCCCCTCCTCTGCCCTCAGAACCTTGCAGGGCCAGGGTTCTCCCCTCCCCATGTCCGTCCTTTACCCTGTGCTAATCCCACTTGACTACTTGCAGCCTTAGCTTTCTGCCTTTTTATTCTTATTATCATTTTATTAATCTTATTCTGAACTTAAGAAATAAAACCAGGATTCCCCAAGACCTGTAAGTTTGAAATACAGTGTCAGAACTGGAAGCAACTTCTCTCCATTGCTCCTAGCCGCCGAGGAGGCCCCACGTGGAGAGGGCAGGGCACGCTCTGAAGATTTCCCTGCCCGCCAGCCTCCGTGGCAGCACCCTGAGCGTCATCCGACACGGGCGTGCCTGCCTCTCTTCCTCTCCTGGGTTACCTCTCCAGCTTATTCATCCTCTGCAGTTCAGCTGCCCTGTACCATCCCGTCCCGTTCTTCTTTGTCCCCACAGAGCTCAGTTCTCCCAAAGTTCCCCTGGGAGCCAGGTCCCTTCATCTCCTGTTTGTCCTCACCTTGACCTCCCGGTCAATCCCCCCTGGTCTCCCAACCTGTTCAGAAAAATAAACGCAAAATCTTATGTAGTTATTTGTGCTGTTTCTGATGGAGAGAGCATCTCTACCTGAGGGGCAGTCAGACTTCCCGGAGTAGGAGGTGGTCCTGGAGCTGAACTTTGAAGGAGGCTGAGCATTCTGAGAACAGGAGGGAAAGTATTCCAGGCACAGGGCAGAGCCTGTGCAAAAGCTCAGAGGCAGACCTGCAGTACCTGGGTCTCCAAAGACTTTTCCCCTTCATCCTGTTCCCTCCCCATCCTCTAAGATAAAAGCTTTCTTTTTTTCTTTTTTTTTTTTTTGGCAATTGGGGTTAAGTGACTTGCCCAGGGTCACAGCTAGTAAGGATAAAAGCTCTTAAATTTTGTTTGTGCCATGGCCCCCTTTGGCCAGTCTGATAAGACCCACGGACCCCTTTCTCCATAATAATGTTAATGCATAATTAATGTTGTTAATGAATAATGTTGCTAAATGCATAAAATAAAACACATAGGATCACAAAAGAAGCCAATTACATCAAAATGCAGTTATAGAAACATTTTTTAAAAACAATTGGACAGACCTTCCCTTTCTTCCCCCTCTCCCCGCCATCTATCCACAGATATACCTACAGTTTAATAGCTCACCTAATGAACTGTTCCTTCTCTCTCTCCCATCTCTACCCTGCCTACTTCCCTCTTGTTCACAAATGTGTTCCCATCACCCCCAGTGTCAAAACAAAACTCTTTCCCTTAGCCTCGCCTTCTGAAGCTGTCATCCTTATGTCCCTCCCTCTGCTAGACCCCTAGAAAGCCAGGTCTGTGCTCTGCCCCTTCGGCTGGTGGGATGGGGGCAGGGGGCAGTTCTGCTTCTGACCTGCTCTTCCCAAAAAGAGCCGTTCCTAAGTCCTCAGTCCCTTTGCAGAGAAGCAGTGGGTGAAGGGGATGGATGGTGAGGGCAGGAAGCTGTCAGCCTGCAGCTAAGGGCTTCGGGTCTTGTCCTGACTCCCCCGGGTACCCCTCGACCTGCTCAGACGGTCCTCTCCAGTGGCTGGTCTCCAATAGTAACTCCACTAGTAACTGCAGGCCCAGTGATGGCTAAGGCCTCCAGCACTGGCCACCCCCATCTGATATGCCAAGAGCAAGCGAGATAGGAACAACAGCAGAAGGAAAGCTGAGACCCAGATATGGAGACTGCTGCCCCATCTGAGAAAGTGGGCCAGGTTTGGGCAGCCCCCGGATATTGTGACCCACTGACAAGGGCAGCAGAAATGGATTCGTCCAGTTCCGAGGATGGAGGACCAAGGGCTAGGCTGCCCAAGAGCCTTCAACCAAGCTTCGAGCCACTGCCTGAGGAAACCTCCTCAAACACAGAGCTGGGCCACTCATGTCTCCAGCCCCGTGCTGGGCGCTGTGAGGTCCCCGAGCAAGGCAGCCCCTGCGATTGAGGGACTTCCAACTGGGAGATGCTGCTAGAAAACATTCATGAACAAGACACAAGAGTATGTGATGGCTGAATGAGCTAACACTGTGGGAGCTCCCAGGAGGGGGTGAGAAGGAAGGGATGTAAGCTGGATGTTAGAATTCCCTTGGTTTTATAGCTGAGGAATCTGAAGCAGAGAGAGGTTAAGTCACTTCAGGGTCCTACAGCTAGTAAATGTCAGAGGCAGGATTTGAACTCAGCTCTTCCAGATTCCAGGTCCTGTACCCTCTCCACTGTGCCATGTAACTGCTTGTAGGTTGGAGAAGGGGGTGAGATTGGGGAGGGAGAGGTGTCGAGGAAGTCTCTGAGCTGAGCCTTAAAGAATGCTCAGAATTCAGGTAGGCAGAAAGACATTGGAGGAGCAAAGATAATCAGCTGGAAGAAGCCTTAGAGGTCAGTTAGTCCAACCCCCCCAATTTTACAGATGAGGAAACTGAGGCAGGAGAGGGTGCCTGACTCACCCAGAATCATACGGGAAGTGGTAAAGCTGAGAGGGGAGGGGAGTGGAGAAGAGGACGGGAACAGAATATGAATGGTGTCCCATCCCCCAACCAAGAGACAACCACAGCTCACGTGTCGTGGGGTCTGCCAAATGCCCAAAACTAAGAATCTCAGCTCACACTTAGGGTCTCAGGCTTATAAAGCTCTTGTGCACGAGCTCACTTGGTCCTCATAACACGACCCTGTGGGCAACAAGATCAGCTATTCAGCCCCATTTCACAGATAGGGAAAGAGAGGCTCAGGAAGATGAAGGGATTTCCCAGGGTCACATAGCACGGAGGTGTCTGTGCTGCAGTTTGAAATTGTCTCTTCCCAACACCAGATCCAGTATACCCATCCTGAGACCGACATTTACTACCTGTGTGACCCTGACCGAGTCATCTCACCTTCTCAGGGCTTCAGATTACCCCTCTGTAAAATAAGATCACACAGTTGGCCTGTAAGGTTTGTTCCAGCTCTAAAAAGCTATGAGCCTCCCTAGATCTGTTCCCAGCCTAGGCTAAAGCCAGAAGGCTCTCTGCTTTAGCAGAGAGACTCCGGGAGGTGGATTTGGGAAAACAGCTTAAAACAGCCTGGCCTGTGGCCCAGCTTCAAATAAACCATAGACAAGATGTCAGAGCAGCTCCCAGAGCCAGATGAGTTCTCGCAGACCCGCTATCCCCTGCCTCTTCAGCCAAACACGGCTAAGGAGTCACGCCAACAGATGGTGCCTCCAGCGCCAAAGGTCCCAGCTCTGTCCTAGCCCACAGCCTACAGTCCTCTCCAGACAGTCCAACCTCAGACCCTGGCATCATCTCCAAGTAGGTAGACCCCAGAGGCACCCTAGGTAATGAAAGACCTGCCCTGAAGCCAAGGCTAAGGGCATCTACAGTAAGTAAGACATGTTCCAGGTCACAGCATGTCAGGAATAGGACAAAGAAATTGAAGATGAAGGACAGAGGTTGGAACCCCAGCTCCCACAAATAGTTACTTTAGCTCTCTGAGCCTCTGTCTCCTCCCCTGTACAATCAGGCCTAGATGCCCTCTAAAGTCCCTTTCAAGCCCTGTGGTATCATTTTTAGATCTAAAAACATAAACTTAGAGCTGGAGGGACCTCCGAGGTCACTTTGAAACTCTTTGAGCCTCAGTTTCCTCATCTGTAAAATGGAGATCAGAATGCTTACAGTGAAGAGCAAGTTAAGATTGTGTATGTGCAGACATGAGTTATTGCCCAGTTTTTAAAATTTTTATTTATTTTTCATTTATGAAACAAAACAAGCATTTCCAAAACAGTAGAATTTTTTTTTAAAAGATGATTGCACATGAAACTGCAAACCTATTGTGTACAACTTACCAGTCCTTTTTTTTTTTTTTTTTTGGCAAAGCAAACAGGGTTAAGTGACTTGGCCAGGGTCACACAGCTAGTAAATGTCAAGTGTCTGAGGCTGGATTTGAACTCAGGCCTCCCATGCTCTATCCACCGCACCACCTCACTGCCTCAATATCCCTTTTAAATCATGTATCATGTAAATCTATTTTTTTCCCTTTTTTTCCCTTCCCTCCCCAGGAATGAAATAAATAAAAAAAAATTTTAAAACTGTCTTGACACCAGTCCCTTTATAGATATTAGAAATCCAGGAGAAGAGGACTAAAAATTGGGTTTGATTCTTAAAACACTCATTTAAACCACTCACATTACTATTAGCTGTTTGGCATTTGACTGATTAGCATGCAGCATAAAGTAGGAGCAGTTTATATAATCTCTAGACCTAGAGGCAGAAGAAATGAGTTCAGATCCTACCTCAGACACCAACTGTGTGTCCCTGGGCAAGTCATTTAACTTCTGGCTGTCTCAGTTTCCTCATCTGTAAAACGGAAATTACAAAAGCCGCTACCTCCCAGGGCTGTCCTGAGGATCAAATCAGATACTTGTCGATTGCCTTTCAGACACTAAAATGCCACGGGAAGGCTGGTGGTTATTCTCAATATGGTAATCCATGGCAGATCACACTGACCTTGCTGGACAATTCATGTGATTATAGCATGAGTGCTTTCTAGGCATTTTGTATGTGATGCGATCCTCTGCTGACAACTTGGAAGAAAGGCCAAGACAGAGCGTTGGCTTTAGGGAAGCTGAAGGGCTTCATAAGACCCCAGATGTAGGGTTAGAAGGGACGTGAGAGGCCTTCTATCCAACCCCCTCACTTTACAGGTGAGGAAACTGAGGCTCAGGTGGGGGGAGGGGAAAGAACCTTAGATTTAGGACTGGAAGGGACCCTGGCGATCATTTAGTCCAGCCGCCTCATTTTAGAAGAGGAAAGCAAGAGGGAAAGTGAATGTGCCTAACCCACTCTGGTCCCTGCCTAGCCTCCCTCCCCAGAGCTCCTTCACGGTGCCCATCCAGCCTGCAGAGTTCGGTTTGGCGAGGATGCAGGACTGGCCACCACTTCCCCAGGGCACTCAGCCAGGCGGGCTCCCGTTGCCTCCCCGAGGCCAATAATGCGGTTGTCCCTACTAAGGCTACGAGGTCTCTCCCTGCCAGACGCACGCCGCTCACTAAGCCAACATCCTTCGAGGAAGGGGCAGCACAGCCAACTGGACCTGGTGCCTGGCCTCACCCCAGCTTGCTGAGCTTCTGGCCCCTCTTACCTGGGTCCCAGCTGGAAGTGAGAGGTGGAGATGGAGGGGGTCCCCTGATCCCAGGCTGCCGGCTCCCATCAGGAGGCTGCACGCAGCTGTTGAGTCCCCTGAGGCTGGACAAGAGCAGAGGTGAGGTTGGTGGCGATGAGGAGAAGGGAGGCTGGAGGAGGAGGAAATGACTGTAACCTCTGGCGGGAGTTAATTTTGTCAGGTTTCTCTCCCGGCGTCCTTATCTCAGTGTAGATGGGAGATAACTCAGCCAAGTCAACCAGCCCGCCCCTAATTTACCCTGCGCAGGGAGCCCTCAGCCCCTCCCTTTGTAGACTGCTTTTTAGAAATCCTGCCGTGACAGAGAGAATTTTTGAGTGTGTCTCGGACACGAATGGTAGGAGTGTGCAAAAACCGGTGAGCAGAACCGGGAAAACAGTCTACACACAATGATGACAGCAATGTGAATGGAAGGGGCAACCGTAACTATTATCAGAACGAAAACACTGAGTAATTGTACTGTCCCAACTTAGTCCCCCAAAGAGATGGGAAGAGGCACCTCCCTCCTTTCTTCGGGTTTGCGGGTCTACAAGTGTAAAACAAACACTTCAATTCCGCTAATGTTCTAGTTTTCCTAAACTGCTTAGTCTTTGTTACAAGAGAAACTGAGGTTATAAAGGAGGGAACTGTATGGAGATGAAAGTGATATGAAAGCCAAAGATCAATTTAAAAAACTGAAACGTGTAAGAGTTGAGAGGAGGGTGGGAGATGGGGAGAAGAAAAATGTGTATATGAGAAAGTTTGTGGGACAGCTTCAGAAAGGTTGTTTAATATACTATAGTAAGTTGTCTGAGTTCACACAGCTAGTGTGTGAAAGGCGGGGGGGGGGTGTGGGAAGGTGAGAGAACACATGAGAGGCATGTGTGTTAGTGTGTTAGTGAAAGAAAGTGCTGAGGGAGAGAGTGTGTGTCAGGGAAAGAGAAAGAAGAGACGCAGTCAGAGACAGAGAGACAGGGCCTGGGGAGGTAGGGAAGGAGGGAGGGAGAGAGATATCTGACCTTCAGGACCAGGGCAATGCAGACGCTCTCTCTCTTTGTCCCTCTCTGCTGCTATGCCATCTGCCCCATAGGAGCTCATCCAGAACAGGAGGAGATGCAGAAACTGACTGTGTGCTACAAGTCCCCAGGTCTGGGTTCTTCCCTTTGAATCCACATCACAAAGTTTTTCCTCCCCGTTCTTCAATCCCCCTGTTTGTAAAAGTGGGAGTTTTCCCAGATGGAGAGTGAATACCCCAAGTCTGGTGTTCTACCCCTCTGCCACCCAGCTGCCTTATCCACCCACCTTCGGGTGAGGGAGAGTCAAAGTCCGGGATGATTCAGGGTTTGTGAGCCTCGGTACTAAAAGCATGGCGCTGACCTCTACACAAATGGAGAAATTCGGAAGGGTGGCAGGGACTAAGATGGGGAAGATGATGAGTTCCATCGTGGGCATGGTGACCTTGAGCCAGCCATGTTTAACAGGTCATTGAGGATGTGGGGCTAGAATTTCCCAGAGACATTAGGACTGGGTATATAATGTCAGGAGTCATGGGCAGGAGGCTTAGAATTGAACGTATGGGCGTTAATGTGATTGCCAAAGTGGGAGGGGTATAGAGAGAAAAGAAGAGGGCCTTAGCGTGCACCCACAGTTGTGAAGCAGGAAAAGACTAATGAGGCAGGAAAGGGAGATGGTGAGGGGGAGGAAGGCACTAAGATTAAAGAGACGGGGTGCCAAGTATTAAATCCTCTGTACAACAGTTCTGCGTGCCGTTTCCCCTATTAGACTGTGAGCTCCTTGAGATCAGAATTGTCTTTCACCTCTCTTTGTATCCCCAGGGCTTAGTACAGTGCTTGGCACACAGTAAACGCTTAATAAATGCTTGTTGATTTGTCTTGAGTGAAATCAAAGAGGATGAGAACTGAGCAAAAGTCCCCGGAGGTAGCCCTTATGAGATCTATATGACCCTGGAAAACAAAGTTAGAATTGGGAAGTGAGAGACAAGATTGTAAAGTGATGAGAAGTGAGTGGGCGTAGACAAGGCCTGATTTTTTCTAGGCATCTGGCTGTGAATGAAAGGGCGGAGACCCTGAGGAGCTGATAAGACCTAGAGAAAGTGTTTGTTTAGAAGGAGGGACAGATTGATGAATGCGACAACCAACAGAGACTCATGGGAAAGTATGCCTGCCACCTCAAGAGGGGGATGGGGATGGGGATGGGCATGGGCATGGGCATGGGGATGGACTGGATGTTTGGAACACAACCTACATTTCCAGACACGACCATTAAAATAAACATTTGTCTTCCTTGGTTTTTATTAAAAGGGAGAGCTTTCGTTTAGGGGGAGGGATAGAGTAGGAGAGTAGGGAGGAGTACAGTAGAAGAGTAGCAATGGTGAGACCCCCCCCCCAAAAAAGGAAAAAGAGCATCAATGACCCATTTACAAAATGCACAGAATGAGCCCTAAGTAGGGTTTGGAGAAAGACTCACAAAAGGAGCCATGCTGGTGCTACCAAGATAAATGTAATGGCTATTGGAAGGAGCAAGGGAGATGAGCTATAGATTCATTGTTTCATGCCCAATCCTCATTTTCTGACCTCTGGGTAGGAAATGTTCACGCTTACCGAGGATTTGCTAGATCATCATAATTTTTTTTTTTCTTCAAAGAACTGGGGAGAGAAATGAGAATGTTTATAGGCAGCAGGGAAGGAGCCAAGCTGTTATTGTTCAGTCATTTCAGACTCTTTGTGACCCATCTGGGGTTTTCTTAGCAAAGACACTGGATTGGTTTGCCATTTCCTTCTCCAGCTCATTTTACAAATGAGGGAACTGAGGCAAGGAGGATGAAGTCACTTGCCCAGGGTCACACAGTTAGTAAGTGTCTGAGGGCAGATTAGCACTAAGGAAGAGGAGTCTTCCTGACTCCAAACCCGGTGCTCTATCCGTTGTGCCACCCAGCTGCCCAAGGAGCCGACAGATATCTTGAGATTGGAGATTAGGAATGGAAGGGAGGGGAGGTCCTCTGCAAATCAAAAGTGGAGAAGTGGTCATGTAGGACGCTGGGAGAAAAAGAGAAGATCTGGAACAGATTCTGTAGCATGTGCAACAGAGTCAGTTAGAGAAGATTAGATCACATAAATCTGAAATGAACCCAGTCAGCACAGTTGTGTGACTTCCTTCAGCACCATTCAGCAGTGTGTGATCGGCGGAGAAGATGGGTGCTGAGGACAACCCAGGGTGAAGGTTTGGCAAGTTACATGGGTAACACTACAGGAAAAGGGACAAAGAATTCCAGAACTGAGGATATTATCTAGTTTAACTGGTTAACTGTAGGAGCGAGATCGGGAAGGGAGGAAACAGGCCAGAGCAGGGATAATTGGCCGAGATTGCTGTGAGCAGCAGAAAAACTGGAAGCCAAGTGAAGATAAAGAATAGCTTTAGGTCACAGGAGTTCTTGACTTGAGATTTGAACTTGTTTTTTCTTTAAATATGTGATAACTATCAAAATATCAATCAATAAACATTTGTTAAGTGCCTATTATGTGCCAGGCACTGTGCTAAGTGCTGGGGATACAAGAAGAGGCCAAAGATAGCCCCTGCCCTCAAGGAACTTACAATCTAATTCAGGAGACAACATGCAAATAAATATATGCAAAGCAAGCTATATATAGGGTAAATAGGAGATAATTAACAGAGAAGGCACTGGAATTAAGAGGTGCTAGGGAAGGTTTTCTGTAGAAAGTGGAATTTTAGTTGGGACCCCCAGGGAGGTCAGTCATCAGAACAGAGGAGGGAGAGTATTCCAGGCATGAGAAAATGCTCAGTCTCCTTGGTAATCCTTTGTTCCAGGGGATACAATAGAGAGGTACCCCAAAGCCAAATCTGAGATGTTAGAGGGTAGAGCCAAGGTGACTAGGGTTGAGAGAGTGGTGGGTAGTCAATGGTGAAGACGATGAGCATGACCAAACAGACCCCACTCGCAGCCTGAAAACGCAAACAGTTGAATGTCCTGACATTTTGGACGGTGCCTTAGAGCATAGAATAGTGGAACTTGGAAGGAACTCAGAGCACAGAATGTAAAAGCAACATATGCCCTTGGAACCTGGGGCATGCAATTTCAGGAATGGAAAGCATCCTGGGAAAGCACTTGGTCTTAATGGACAGAGGACTGGATGTTCTTCTTTTTTCTTGTTATGATTTTCATAGACATATTGTTCTTGGAAGTTTTCACAGATAATATAGAAGGGAGCCTTCTACTTTGGTGAAGGGCAAGGAGAAGTCAAATGCTCTCCCTAGTACTTCTTTAGCAGGATGACCAGAGGGGTTCTCCCAAACTTCCAGGACAGTGAATCTTTATCTGGGATGTTTGAATGCATCTCAAACTAGAAGGTAGACCTGGCACCTTCTGAAAAGGAAGAAAGCCAACTGATTAAGCCAGCCCTCAATGAACTGGTGAGTTTGAGCCACCCCCTTGGCACCTCCTGAGATAGAAAGATAGATAGATAGAGAGAGAGAGAGAGAGAGAGAGAGAGAGAGAGTGGGCATTTAAATGCTCCTATGTGCCTGGCACTGTGTTAAGTATTTGGGGATAGAAATATAAGCAAAATCTATCCTGAAATCTATCCACAGTACCCCTTGATTGAAAACCTCTATTCTAGAGGGAGTCAGAGTGCAGCCAACAGCCCTTTGTGCTGGAAGGAGCCAGGGACTAAAGCCAGGCCATGGAGGAGCCAGTAATCTGGGCTTCGCATTCTACTAGGACAGTGAGTCATTTGTGTAGACCAGACAGGAATGGATGCTGCTTTTCTGGGAGCCCCAGGAGGGGTCCGAACCACAGGGAGTGGCCTGCGGTGGGCAAACCACTTACATCCCTATTGAAAAAGGAACTAACCAGAATGTTGGAGAGATTGCCCTGATGACAACCCCAAGTGCAGTTCCCTTCTGAAAGGAGTTCAAATCAGAGAGACTAACTCCCGTCAGGGATGTGCTGGTAAAATGCTTAACAACCAGCTCTCATGGGTGGGGGTGGGGAGGAAGAAATGGATGCATGACACACTTAAGTTTAATCTGTATTATTAACATCTTAATT